AAGAAAACCCTGATACCACCCCCGTCAGGAATCCCCAAATGGAGCCTATAAGTGGCATGGCTTCGGAGTTACTAGGTTTGAGGGGCTCTATTTGGAGTTTGTCAGCATTTGAAATCCTCAGACAGCCAAGGTTCAGTCGTGTGCCTGTCAGCGCCTGGGCCACGCCCCCTACCCCCGGCCTATCAGAACATCAGACCTCAGACACCGCACCACCTCAGGCCAGTCCAAAGCTGACCACACTCCCTTGGACTCCAGTTCTGTCCCAACTGCCAGGCTGAGGGTCGTCCTGGCCGAGGGTCGTCTTCCTCTTATGAACCACTGCTTCCTTTACCCCGGCAACAACGTCGGAGGCATGATCTCAGGGTGCAATATATCGGGGACCTGGTTCCCTCCCACATACACATACCTTGTCCAGATACATTTCCGGGTCGAAGTGCGCCCCATTGAGGTCTGTCGGGTCCAGGGGGTCCGGCCCCGCCGCCTCCCCCTCCGAGAGGCCGTAGTAAAGCTTCAGCATTCCATGCGCCTTCCGCCGACGCTCCGGGGCCTCCGCCTCAGGACCCTCCAGGGAGTCCCCAGGTCCAGACCCCGGGCCTGGCCCAGCAGCTGCCGCAGCCATCGCTCCAAGAGCAGCCCACTGGCGTGAGGCAGGGAAGGGAACAGGGAGGAGGCACTTCCGGGAACCATAAAGTTATTGTTGAAACGAGGCAGTCCTTTAAGTGCAACGTCCCCCTGCCGACGTTGGTACTTCGAGACTAGAGTTCTCCCGTATCTTTCCTCCCCGAGCAAAGAGGTTCCGGGAGAGCCCTGGGTTCCCACAGCTTCTCAGGTGGCAGGATTTTGTGGAACTGATCGGGTTGCTGCCCTCGCAGAGGGAGGGCGGGTCGTGGCACCCAACCCTGCATCCCCGCACCCCACAGGCAAGGGCCCGCGGAATATGTCCCTAGAGGCAGGGGACGGAGCGCGAGCTGGACAGCCAGAAAGGTGTGTCTAGCATCCTACTACTGCCTGGTTACGTGGGCAGTGGCTCAGTTTCCACCTCAATTCCTAAAATTGGGGTACATACTTCAAGTCGGGCTGTGAGAATTAAATGAATGTACAGTACGCCGCACGGTGCCTCTGGCGCAGTGTCTCCCCAGGCCTGGTCCTCTGACGTGCATCAGAAATGCCTTCAGAATTACCTGTGGTGCATTTTAAGACTGGGCGTCCCCGAAACCTAGCTTACATATATTTTAAAGTCCACAGTTAGTTCTGGTGCATTTAAATATACCGTGTTTAGGAGACAGACTCACAGATCTTAGATGACTGATAGGATGTCCTTAGTGACGAGGTGGGTGGAGACGTTGAGGATAATTCTCAGGTTTCTGATTTGAACAAAGGTGTAGCTGTTCACTATGGTGAAGAGCTCAAGAGGACAGGGAATGACTTGGAGTTCAAACTGAGACATGCTGAACTTGAATGGAGAAAACGACTTTATCAGCGTGGTCCTTGAAACATTACTTATGATGGGCTTGAGGGGGTGGGGGGAGGTTAGAACAGAAACAGCCTTATTCTTTGTCAGGGTCCTGCAGGCCAAACACATCCCACCACCTTGCTTTCATATGGCCTGTGAACTAAGATCCCCCCTCCCCCTTTTTCAAAAGATTGCAAAAAATAAGAATGACATTTCATGACACGTGAAAATTATATGAAGTTCATACAGAGTAGATCTTAAAAGTTCTGATCACAAGAAAAAATATGTGTATGGTGATGTTAACTAATTGTGATCATTTTGAAATATATATATTGAATCATGTTGTACACCTGAAACTGTTATGTCAATTGTATCATTTAAAAATTATTTTCAGGCCTGGCCTAGTGGCTCAGTGGGTTGGGAGCTGGCTTGGGACGCCAGAGGGCCTGGGTTCAGATCCCACATATGAGGGCCAGTGACACTGCCCTCTACAGCTAGAATGCTAAACAACAACTCAGCCTGGAGCTGTGTTGCCCAGAGTCGCCAGCAACGGTGTGGACTGCAGCTCCTGTGGCAGTGGGTTGCCATGGGCTACTGTGTGTGGCCGGCAACCAGCGTGAGCAGCAGTCCAGAAGCCAGCAACTGATCTGCCTCACCCGGGAAGAGCGCAATGATGGTGCCAACTTGGGCCAATGAAGCAACGTCCTCCACAACTAGACTGAAGAACAAAAACGACAACAACTTGTCTGTTCCCCTTCTCCCAATTCCCCAACGCTGTTCCCATCCCCCAATTAAAAAAAAATTTTTTTTTCATAAAATCATGTGAAATTATATAGGATTATTTTTTAGTGTCTATAGTTTTATTTGAACACAGCCATGCCCATTTGTTTACACATTATCCATACCTGCTTTCTCTCTACAACAGTGGAGTTCAGTAGTTGCAACAGCGACCATATGGCTGGCAAAACCTAAAACATTTACTGTCTAGTTCTTTACAGAAAAAGCCTGCTGATCTCTGAATCTATGGGATATTCAGAGGCTGTTTAAAAAACATGATTTCAGCCTATGAAGCAACAATCGTAAGAAAATGAAGAAGAGTATAAAGATTTAGATCTACTCCAAGAACATTATAAACATTTTTTTAATTGCAAAATATTAAGAAAAATCCAAAATTTGAAAATAAGACCAAGAATGTAGGATGTCCTTCCAATATCATACCGGGCCATTATTTCACACGCCCACCCAAGGATTATTTAATTACCCAAAGGAGTAGACATTTGTTCGATTTTGTTATGTACTATTCAGGGTTCAGATTCTGAAATTACAAGTAGATATTTTCCAGGAGAGATGCAAAACATTTATTTCTAGTAAAACAATTAACATCAAAAGTGACTCTTGACTCTTTTTGGGGGGCCGGCCAAGTGGCTCAGTTGGTTAAGAGCATGAGCTCTGAGCAACAGGGTCGCCGGTTCAATTCCCACATGGGCCAGTGAGCTGTGCCCAAGCTGAGCTGCCGCTGAGCTGCCAACAGGTGGCAGGATGGTTCAGTTGGTGAGAGCACATGCTACAAGAGCACCTCTAACAACAAGGTTGCTGGCTGACTCCCACATGGGATGGTGGGCTATGCCCACCTGCAACTAAGACTGAACACAGCACCTTGAGCTGAGTGGCTGAGAGCTGCCGACAGAAGGCCGGATGACAACTGGACTTGGAGCTAAGCTAGCTGCGCCCTCCACAATGAAAAATTGAAGGACAACAACTTGGCTGTTCCCCTTCCCCAATAAAATATATATATATTAAAAAAAATGACTATTTGTATTAATAGTCACTTGTTTTATATCTAACCTAGTAATCACATTTTAACATTCCTCTTTAAATGCCTATCAACAACCAGCTCTTCAGGATGATTTACCACCTTACTGAGGGGGAGCCCCCTCACTCATGGGTTAATGCATCTTAGTTACATGTTCTTTCTATATTGAGATGTTTATAACTTTTTTAAAGTTGTACTTTGACAATATGTATGATGTAGCTTTTAAAAATGTTATTATGTTATGCACGTGTATGTGCATGTAGGTGTATAAAGTTACATCAAGAAAGGACCCAAAAGATACCAAACTCTTGGAAGGGGTTACCTCTGTAGGGGTGTGGGCGGAGAACTGTTACATTTTCCTCTGTATGCTTGTGTAATATACAAATCTTTTATAGAACGTATTCAATGCTTAAATGGCATTGAGCTAGGAGCCCTAATGTATAAAGGTTTATTTGTATTTGAATGAGAACTGAGGTGCAAACAATTATTTCCACAGTGGGACCACGGCTGGGCATTGGGGCATCACCCCTTTGATGTGTTAGGATTTGGGTTTGACAGGCTGCTGTGATTAATGACATTGGGCAGCTAGCATGGATGGTGAGGTCAGGCTCTAACGCTACTGCTTCCAAGCAAAAAACTTTGGGTCTTGGCCTGACCTGGGACCTAACTTCTGGGGCAGTCAGGCAAGAGGCAGTAGGGGTGGCCAAGTTCAACATCAAGTCCTCCCTCTTCTACTTTAGTTTCTGGGAGCTTGCATGTCCCTTTACACCATTTCTGGCCAAGTTTCTGGTTTATTTTGTTGACAGTCCTGGAGGTTTTACCTTGCATGTATGGATGACATGTTTTCTTCTTGGCTTCTAACTATCCCTACTCATTTCACAGCCTCGGGTAGAACTGGATCTTAGCCTCAGGACCAATGGCCTTGCTCATTGGCAGTGAAAGCTTGAGCTGACAATCCCACTCTCTACCTCAGATTCACATGTAAACAGGATGTGTGCGACCAGCCCCAGCTTTCCCATGGGACTCTTGGGTTGACAGTGGTGATGGGTGTGAAAATGCTCTGAGTGCCAGGAGGTGGCAGAGAGGGGAAGGCTGATCAGCATCAGGTCCTTGAAGAACATCTGGGGAGAAGATGAAAAAGCCAGTTGCTCAGGGCCACACCTAAGTAGGGCATGGGAAGGTCTCAGGACAGCTGTGGGGAATCTGTTGTCCCTTTCCTTCCCTTAGTTCCTCCCCAATAGGTGTTGGAGCAAATACTTGGAGCTTGTGATCCAACCCAGGCCTCCCCTCACCTGGGAATGCCCTCCAGCTATACATCTGGGTCCTAATCTCATTTGCCTAAGACTTGCTGTGGACCTGAGACATACCCCCCACACACACACACACACACTTGTCTGAGCCCCAGTTCTTCACTTACTTGTAGTGTGCCCACACTAACTCCTCTGTCTTAACTCAGTAGTTAAGACTGTTAAGTGGACTCAGTAAGAACACACATCTGTACCTTTAGCCCACCACTCTTCCACAACTCAGAGCTCCCCAGCCACCAGTGAAACACCCCTGGATTCTAGAATTCCAGCCCGTGTTCTAGAATCTTGTCCCCTTGAATGTCCTCCTGGTTTTAGAATCCCACTACTATTCCAGACTGTGAATTCTAGAAGCAGTGGGGTCAGCTGCTTTCCCTGGGCAGTGTTGGCTTGCTCAAGCTCTACTGTCTGAGTCTACACTGCTGCCACGATGCGGTGGCGGAACCGTATTGCTGTGTTCTTCTTCCCACAAGGCATGATGCTCACCGTGGCTGCCCTGATGCTCTTCTTCATACACCTGGGTGTCCTCGCCAGCGACGTGCACAACTTCTACTTCACCCACCACTACGACCGCATGAGCTTCCGCTATACAGTGGTCCTGATGGTAGGCCACGGCAGGGGCTCAGGGGCTGGACGGGGGAGGCCCAGGGGCTGATGGAAACCCCACTGTTGTATCAGAGGGCCACTCTCCCATTGGATGGGGCCCACAGTTCTCCCAGGTGATCAGTATCTGCTGGGCCGCCATGGGGTCACTCTACGCCGAGATGCTAGACGACAAGTTTCTTCGGTGCTTTGCCCTGACCATCCTGAGTGAGTGACGGAATGGGGAGCTTTGGGACCCTGACATGTGAAGGGGGCAGAGAAGGCTGATGGGGGGTTCTCTCTGCCCAGTGCTCAACGGAGCCATGTTCTTCAACCGCCTATACCTGGAATTTGTGGCCATCCAGTACCGGGAGGAGAATCACTGAGGCTTGGGGATTGGGCTGAGAAAGTGGAAGGAAAAGGAGGCTTCGGGTGTTTTAATAAAGTCTGTCATTTATTTCCACCTGTCAGCTCCTTCATGTGTTGGGGAAGGTGGGAGACGCAGGGGAAGCAGATCAAGACAAACACTTGATCTGCAGGGACCCCAGGCCCAGCCTGCAACCATTCTGGTAGATTTGGCTTTGGGCTTGGGATCTTAGTGTCTCAGGCCTGAGGGAAAGGGGCAGAAAAGGGCCCCCAGACCTCCCCTCCCCACCTCCTCAGGCCCCCAGTTCCTAGGCTTGCCCAGACACCAGCAAGGGCTCAGGAGGGACCCACACGGATGTGAGGGTTCATGAGTGGGTCCAGGTTGGGATCACTGTCAGCTGCAGCCCGGCCCAGGCGAGACATGAGGACAAGGAGGGCCAAGAAGCCCAGCAGCCCCAGCAGCAGCAGCAGCCCCGCCCGCTGGAGCAGGGTCAGAGGCCGCTTACGAGACCCGGCCCGGCTCCTGGGGGGACGAGGGGAAAGTCAGATCAGGCCCCTAGTCTCTGGTGGCCCCGTGGCCTGGAGAGTAGCCCTGGTCACGCCACTCGTCTTCTGGCCCCAGCACCACCATCCCTGAGCCTCATTTCCTCAAGTGAGCCATGGGGATAAACATCCACGCCCCTGGCCACTACAAGGGTGACTGTGCAGCAAAAACCAGCTGAGACAACGACTGTTCTGGAAACTGGAATGTGTCAGGCATGGGGACAGTTACAAAGATCGGGTGTTGTCAAAGCAGAAAGGGGCCTCAAAGAGCCCAAGTCCAAACCTCGTATGTAGCAGGTGAGGTACAGCCCTGGAGATGGCAGACCCAAGACTTCTTCTATTGCCAAGCAGAGGCCTCTCTACTCAGTCCCAACACTGGGTACCTATGTTACCCAGGACAAGCCCCTTCCGTCATGAAATCGTCATGCCCCGGGCCTCTGGTTCTCACTTCCCTTCCTCCCCCTTCCTGGCATCCTGCCCCACCTGACCCTGTGTACCTGAGCAGCTGGGCCAGCCAGCCCAGGGCAGGCCGGCGACGGTACTTGTCATCATCGTAATCCCCGTGGAGGCCTGGTGCACGGTCATCATCGCGTGTGTCATACACCTTCCTCGGGGCCGAGGCTGCAGGGGCAGAGTCACCAGCATCCACAGGCTCAGGGAAACTGGCTCATAGCAGGGGGAGTGGGGACAGCAGGAGATCCTTGCCTTTCTCTGCCTGACAGTCTGTCTCAGAATTGTAGGGTGGAAATGTCTGTGCTTGGAGGGAGGAAGGGTCCCTCCGGGTGCGTCTCTGGACCCCTGAGTTCCCTCCACATGAATCACCCCACTCCCTTTCTATCCTTCTCTGGCCTAAACAATCCCCTGGCTCACCGTGAGTCAAGGGCTCAGAACTGCCCATGTGGATCACCGTGTGCTGCTCGGGACGGCTTGGGGAAGCGGGGGGCCGGGGGACTTGGTTATAGAAGGCTGGGGCAGCAGAAGTGCTGGCTATCTCTTCTTGTTCAGGGGTACCATCGGCTGTGGCAGGAAGAGAGCTGTCAGCAGAGCAGGGAGGCAAGGGCCCCAACAGCAGGTGGATACTGCCACTCACCATTAAAGCTGGACCAGTCAGAGAAGTCGGAGGTGTTGAGGGGCTCGGGCTCCGGGCTCGCCACCTCATCAATCTGAAGGAAGGAACCTGTGTCACCAGCCTGCCCAGTGCTGTCCCCACCCACCCATCTGGCCCAGGTGGGACCCTAGACAGACAGAGGGACTCTCACCAGAGGAAGGCCCAGTCCTGCCCGGGCCCAGTTGACTGTGGCCAGCTTCTCTCTCAGTGCAGAAGCCACGGGGCCAGCCAGGTTGGCTGGCGGGAAGATGGGGCCACTGCAGCTCGGGCACTGGTAGCCAGCAGGCGCTGTGTTTTGGGGCAGCTGGGCAGCACGTTCATTGAGACAGGCCCAGTGGAAGAGATCTTAGGGCCCATGAAATAGCGGAGGAGAGGCATGAGGAAGAAGGCACGTTGCACCAGTGGCCCAGCAACAGCCCCCAGCCTATTGCAGGGATATATGCATACATACATAGAAGCCCATGGCACCTCCTTCCTATCCTCGCCCCAGGTCCATTTCGTCAGTGTGCCCTACGCCCTACGGGCTACCACCATCTGACTAAATCAAAGCAGACGCTACAAAGTTCCCCGGCTCACTAGAAGGTGGGGGTGGGTGGGAAGATGATGCCACAAGCTCCTTGATTAGCTAACAGCTAATCAGGAATAGTTTCAGGAGAGCTTCCTAAACATACACACAGGCACATGTATGCCTGTACACATCCATGGGCACACATACCTGTGCTTATATACACACAATCAAAGAAGTGCCATCCTGTATCTATCTTACAGGCACACTAACTCTCACACATACACATCTACACACTCACTTGTTTGCTAATACTCAAGCACCCTCACCCACACATTTTCCTGCAACCCCACCACACACCTGTATTCATATGTTTACACACAACTTTCACCCATTCACTCACCCACAAGTACTAATGAACTCACTACACTTATGGTAAGACACAATGCATATTAAACTCATGCATGTATACCCATGCACTCACACTAAGAAACACGTACGTGGAGCTCACTCTTTTGTACTAGCTCCTTCAAAAAGTGGGGCTAAGGTTCTTACACAAAGTCAAGGTCATGACATGTGTCTGCTGACTGCTTTTAGCTGACTTTACTATGGGAAACCTACTTCCTCTCTGTTTAATCCTGGAATCAGTAATGGATCCTGAATGTCTGAAAGCCCCATGCTAGTCTGGCCAGCTACTGCTCACAGCCTCAACCACACCCACAAGTTTGACTGGCTCTCACTCAACCCTCGAGATTGGAGGCAAGAAAGTAGGAGCTTTAATATTTAGGGGAAAAAACTGAGGCCTAGAAAGAGAAAATGACTTGCCTGAGCTCACAGGGCAGGTAAGTAACCCAGCAGGACTAGAATCTGGGCTCCAGCCTCCCCGACTTGGGGGTCTCACTGTCCTGCTGCTTTGGGAGGGCTGGGAAACTGGTCACCAAGCTGGGCCTATCCTGATCCCCCCAAGGTGCCCAGGCCTCACCATAGCAGACAAGGCGGGTGGTCTCCCGAGTGGCCAGGGGTATGTTGCACAGTCGGCAATTGGGGTTGTAGTCGCTATCTTGGAGCCACTGCAGGTAAGACTGTACGATGCACTGGAGTGGGAGAGAGAGGTCACAACTGGAGCTGGGCTCCACAACTCAGGTCCCTAAAGCCCAACTGCCTCTTGATCTCTCATCACAGAGGAGACTTATCCTTTCGTTTGTTCAATCAATAAACATTTATTGAGCACATATTGTGTGCCAGACTCTGCCTTAAGAGGATTCAGCAGTTAACAAAATGAACCCAGTCCTTGCCCTCGTGGAGCTTCCATTCTAACGCCAGGCCCTTCACGGATTTGGAGGAAGCCAATACCACTTGCCCTCCCAGTGCCCTGCTCAGCCGCTCCCCTTGAAGGCCCCACCTTGGTGTGATTGGCTACCAGGCAGTGCTCGCAGACGTTGACCCGGTGTTCGAAGCAGAACAAGTTGGTCACCTTCCTCTTGGGGCACTTGCAAAGCCCCATGGTCGACCCTGGGGAAGGGACCTGAGTTAGTAGGGAGCTAGGTTCCGGTGGTCGCCACGACGCACTCACCAGCCCAGTTCGTTTCCACTCTTAACTCCCCTAGACACTCTCATATTCGCCCGAGCCCCAACTTCCTGCCCATCGCCCCTCTTCATGAAGGACCACGCTCCCTACATAAATCCCGCCTCCGAAGACCCCTCATTCCTCCTGGATCCCGCCCCTAGCCAGGCCCCTCCATCAGCGTCTCACCGATACCAACGGCTCCGCCCCCAGGGGCCCCTCCTCAGTCCCACCCCTCCAAGCCCCGCCCCCACTTTTCCACAGACCCCACTCTCCGTGTTATTGATCCACCCGGGCACGGGTCCCGACAGGCTCGAGCGCTGGCCCAAGGCGCGGAGGGACAGACACGGCGCTCCGCCGACCTCCAGCTCAGCTCTTTCCAGTTCGGGCCGCTCCTATTATCCCTCCGCTGCCACGTCTCTTCCGGGTGCGACGCGTACTGATGACGCTGGCGCGCCACTGGCCCCACCCCGGCTCACCGTAAACTTGAGACCGGTGAAGAAGAGGCGACCGAAGTACCGCTGCCCTCCCGCCTTACGTCACTTCCGTTTCCTCCTGCGTAGGGCGGGTAATCCAAACGTTTCTGCTTCAGAAGGGTCCACGGGTTGGCGCGAGCCCCGGCGGCTGCGGCGGCAGTCAAGACCAAGGCTAGACATGTCCGAGAGGCGAACGCGGTCCGGAGGGGGCTCTCAGCGCTCTGGTGAGGGGAGGGCGCGCGGGAGAGACGGGGCCGAGCTGTTTGAGGGATGCAGTCCCGCGAGGAAGCCCTCCCGCTACCGCCCTAGGAGGCTCAGCCCACGGCCCACTTTCCGCCCCGAGAAGGCTCCCCGAAAGGGCCTCTTTGGGTGCCTTTTCTCGCTGTCCCCAGAACCTGTGCTCCAGACCCTGAGATCTAGAGTCCTCTCCTGCCTCCTAAGTTTTTTCTTTTTCTAGGGCCAAAGACCCCATCTCAGTCTCTGCGGAGGTCCCAGCGGAAATCAGGCTCTGATCTCCCCAGCACCCTCCCTGAAATCTGGCCGAAGGTGAGCCCGGGGTTCCTCCGTTCCTACCCCAGAGGCTCCTGGACTAATGTAGAGCTCATGGTCACCCTTCTTCTCCAGGCACCCGAGGTGGCTCCAGTCAAAAAGCCCATTGTCTTGAAGAAGATTGTGGCCAATAATGTAAAGGTGAGGACTAAAAGAGGTTGTGGGTGGGGAGCCAAAATTAGGTGCCGGCTCTGTGATCAATTAGTGTTGTCTCCACAGGTCCCATCCGTCCACTCGCCTCGAAGGAGTCCTAGGGTGAGTTCATTTTCATCTGCTTTGTTAAGGACATTCTGGAGCTGGGACAGACCAGTGTCCCACAGCATCTGCTCAGGAAGCTGTTTTGCAGTAGTGTATTTTGAAACAGTTTGTCCTTGGACACCTGCATGCATCGCCAACCTTGCTTACTCCTTGTAGACTTAATATATTTAGCTCTTGATGTCCTTGTATGTTCTCCCGTTTTCTTTTAAAAGTTAACTGTGTCCTAACTGTCTTTCTTCTCCTTCTTGTCATATTTTTATTTACCCTTATTGTAGGATGAGTTATGTGTATGGTGGCTTTACGGTTTTAGCAGAAGTCAAGATGTTTCATTAAAATCTGTGCCTGAGGATATAATGAATGAGAAATGCCAGCTGTTTTTGAGGAGCTAATGGGGCTTACAGTCAAGTGGGGAGAAAGGCAAATGAACAGGTGATAACATAGTATGTTGAGGACTGCAATACAGAAAGAACTAGATGTTATGAAGGCACCTAATCCAGACCAGGTGGCTCAGGGAACATTTCACAGAAGAGAAAATGTTTAAGATGAGTCTTTAATCTTTACAGACAAGTAGGAGTGTACCGAGCAAAGGAAGCTGTATTTGCAGAGACCTGGACTCTACACAAACACACACACAAACACACAAATACAAGATTTGGGGAACAGCGGCTTCTTTGGTGTGTCTGCAGCAGACCTTGTTAGGGGAGGGAGCGTGCTAAGCCAGAACAGAACAGATCCTGATGAGGCATGAAAGCAATGCTCGGGACCTTGGGTTTCGTCCTTGGCACTGTGGGCAGCCTTTGGAGAGCCTTTAGTAAGGTAGTGACTGAGTTAAGCTTGGGTGTTTTTAGAAAGCTTCCTCTTGGAGCTGGGTGGGGAATGGGCTGGAAAAAGACTGCCAGAGACCCCAAGGTAGGAAGA